ATTTATATTACGATAAAAAATTATAATCATAATTATTTTTTCTACAATTACAACACAAAATTGAAATTAAAATAAAAAGACAAAAAGATAAAAATATATATAGTTATCACCTTTTTGAATTTCATCTTTATATTCTTTTCTCTTTTTTTATTTTATTAATCTAGAATTTCAAACCTAGCTCGCAATGTTTCATTTTCTAATTTTTCTAAACCTAATATATGACCAAAAAAAATCTCGAAATATAAAAATTGGACATTAATGCAAATCATAAACTCAAACATAATTTCTAAAATTAATAGTAAATTGTATGAAAAAGAAATTAATGGAAATATTGTGATGTTGATGGTAGATTATTTAAACAGATAGACTTTTATAGGATCTATTATTATTATTTTCAATTTAGTATTTTCCTTTTTTGGCTATTGAACTAGGAAAATATGGACTTACTAGGTGAGAATAATAGGGGAAAAAAATAGCAATGAAAATCAATACTATTATAAAAATTGACGTATTAAAAAATAAAAATAAAAATGGATCAAGAATAAAAATAAAATCAAAAATATATTTTTGCCACATTTCGATCTTACATCTTTATATCTTCTATAATTTTATTACGTACTATTTTCTTGCTTAACTTAGGTCTTACAATTTTTCTAGGGTTCGAAAAGTGGAAGGAACTTGCTAAATAACTGATAGAAAGAAAAGACGGTGGCGATCATGCATGATACTTCTCGTAAAATTAATATCATGATAAGAACGTGATAACAAACTTTTTATTGCGTAAGAATTAAACAAAACAAAAAGGAAATAATGTATCTTTATACCGTTAATTCTTCATGTATTCATAGCTTTATGTAAAGGTTTGTTTTATGGGAAATTAGGTCGTCAAAACCCTATTATGATTTGTAAGTATACTTTTAATATAGATGCAAAATCTAACTTTAATAAAAAAAATTTAAAAAATAGCATGAAAATGAAATTCTTCATTTTTTAAACAATTCTTTTGATATTGAGATATTTATTTTTGATTGCATCGTGACTTTTTTTTTTGTGGTAGTATGAATAGCGATATATTAATATATATGTATATTTATTATCGCTATAAGTCATTTTTATATTAGTGTAATTAATTCTATAAATGTATTTTAATAAATGAAAATGAAGTTATGTTGATAAATTTATTTTTTGTTTTATGGGTTACTTACTCACAAGATAAAATGGATAAATCTGTAAGAATCAATTTTTATGTGTATGAAGAATTTCGTAATGAGTTGAGTGATCATTATATGGAATCTCACTTTTAAAGACATATTTTTGTAGTTAGGGGCAACCCTTTATGAATTATGTGTTTTTCTTAGTTTTTCGTGTGTGTTTGCTAATTGATATTGACACATTATGGAGCATAGAAGGTTTTTCGAAAAATACTTTATGAGGATCTCCGTAATAAGTTGGGGAGCACTACATATAGTCTCACTATTTATATTGCATTTAGGGGGACGACTTCAAGAATTACATGTTTTTTTGTTTTTTCATATATGTTTAGCCCGTGGATTTTGATGCCTTAGGGAGACTAGAAGGTTTTTCTGAAAGAAAATTTTTTTTATGAGGTCCTCAATAATGAATTAGGGGGCATTACATATAGTCTGATAATTTTTAAAGCATATTTTTGTATTTAGGAGCCAACTTTTAGAATTACATGATTTTTTTTTATTTTTAGTGTGTGTTTGCCCATGAATATTGACACCTTATAGCGCATAAAAGGATTTTTTTTGAAAAAAACCTTTATAGGACCTCTTCAATGAGTCGGGGAGACATAATGTATAGTCTCACTATTTTAGTCATATTTTTTATATTCAAGGACAACTTTTAGGAATTACACGATTTTTATTTTATTTTTGCACGTGTTAACCCATGGATATTGGCGCCTTACGGTGCTTAGAAGGTTTTTTCTTAAAAAAACGTTATGAGGACGTCCATGATGAGTTAGGGAGCATTGCATATAATTCCACCATTTTTAAAACATGTTTTTGCATTTAAGGCCCGACTTTTAGGAATTACGCAACATTCGTATTTTTTCGTGTGTGTTAACTAATGATTATTGGTGTCTTATGGCGCTCGAAAGTTTTTTTTGAAATAACTTTATGAGGATCTACGCATTGAGTTAGTGGAGCATTACAAACACTCTCACCATTTTTAAGGCATATATATATATATACACACACACACACACACACATACACACACACACACACACACACACACACATATATATATGCATTTAGGGGCCAACTTTTAGAAATTATGAGACTTTCTTGATTTATCATGTTTGTTAGCCTATGGATAATGGCGCCAGAGAGTTTTTTCCTGAAAAAACTTTATGAGGACCTTTGTAATGAGTTATGGAAGTATTACGTGAAGTCTCACTTGTTTATGAGGCATGTTTTTGCATTTAGGGGCAACCTTTAGGAATTAAGCGTCTTTCATAGTTTACTGTTTGTGTTAGTCCATTGATATTGGTGCCTTATGGCGCTTGGAAGGTTTTTCTGGAAAACTTTACGAGAATCTTCGTAGAGAGTTGGGGAAGCATTAGAGCCTCACCTTTTAAGGCATATTTTCGCACTTAGATGCCAAATTTTTAAAATTATACGACTTTTTTTATTAAAATGGACATTGGCGCATAAAAGGTTTTTTTGAGAAAATTTTATGAAGATTTTCGCAATGAGTTGGGGAAGCATTACGCAAAATCTCACATTTCTTAAGGCATATTTTTGAATTTAGGGACCAACTTTTAAAAATTATGTGGCTTTCTTGATTTTTTTTGTGTGGTAGTCCATGGATATTGCGTCTTATGGCGCCCAAAAGCTTTTCTGGAAGAACATTATGTAGACCTTTGTAATGAGTTGAGGAAAGTGTTACGTATAGCCTCACCATTTTTGAAGGCATCTTTTTGCATTTGGGGCCAACTTCTAGGAATTACGCGATGTTTTGATTTTTTGTCTGTGTTAGCCTATGAATATTGGTGCCTTATAGAGCCAAATATTTTTTCTTGAAAAAACTTTATGAGGACCTTCGTTATGAGTTGGAAGCATTACATGTAGTCTCTCTATTTTAAGACATTTTTGCATTTAGGGACAACTTATATAAATTACGTGATTTTTATGATTTAATCGTGTGTGTTAACCCATGGACATTGACGGCTTATGGCGCCCAAAATGGTTTATCTGAAATTTTTTTTATAAGGATCTCTGTAATGAGTTGGGGATGCATTACAGATATTCTTACTATTTTAAGGTATATTCTCATATTTATGGGATAACTTTGAGTTAGGATAGGTTATCCTTTTTAATTAAAATACCTATAAAATAGCAGTTCAACCTAGCCTTAAGCGGGCTACAGACTAGGATAGGTTAGTCCTTCAACCAAACAATGAACAACATTGATGTCTTAGAATGAGTATTAAAAGTATCGAATATTGATGTCTGATGAACACGACATCAATACATACAAAAATTCATTTATGAAATACACACTTCAATGATATTTATAAAATTACATAGTTAGCCAAGATACGTATTATAATATTCATCCAAACAAAAAATACATGAGCACTTTTTTTTTATAAACAAGATAACAAAGGAGAAACGAAAAATTAGGTATAGAAACAAAAATGGACTTGATTTTAGTGGGCTAATGGTCCTAAAATGTTTACACTTGATTTCATATTTTTAAATATTTATCGACAAAATCTTTACAAATAAAAAACTACTAAAATATATATAAATAGGGCAAGAGACAACAATCACATACTATTAAGGTAAATTACAATTTGTCCCTTATAAGTTTATAGTTACTGAAATTCTCAAACTGATACAATAATATAAGTGCTAATACATTAATCGTTAAGTAACAGACATTATATTTTATACGTGATACACTAATTTGATGCACATTTTAAACATGATACATTAATCTGATGCGCGAGATACATTAATTTGATGCGTTAGATACGTTAATATGATGCACGATATACATTAATTTGATGCGTAAGATACATTAATTTGTTGCGTGAGATATATTAATTTGATGCGTAAAAATGAAGAATTTTGAAAATTTGTAAAACTACGAGAATAATGGCAATAACAGAACTTAAAGGTGTGGTTTTTATCATTTATCCTAAATATAATATTTTAACATTCATAGCCCATTGACTGGCCTTAAAGGCTTGTGAGTTGGGCTTACGAGGCTAGCGGGTCAAATAGACTGGGCTAAAAAGCCTCGTTTCTAAATAAACAAAAAAATTAAGCCCAACCCAACTTAGTTCAAAGATTAGGTTTGATCGACTGAACGGGTCAAACTCAATTTGACAACTCTAGCTAAATGCCTAAACATATATTCTCTATCTATAATATTATACTATATGTCTTTCTTTAATACTGAAATTGAATATGAAAAAAATTAAAAAAAAAGATAACATACTATTCAATCAATCCGCTGGTAATTTTTTGATCAAATATTAAGTATCATAAATTTAAATTTAATCAATTTTTTGATCAAATATTAAGTATCATAAATTTAAATTTAATCGAATTCACCAGCGATGAATCTTTCGACACATAAAAGTAAACAATGGATCTAGTAAAAACCGGCCATAAAAATACCTTGGAGACCAGTCAAACACCATTTTTATTTATTAAAAAATCAAAAATAAAATTTAAAAAACCACAAAACGACAAAAAGAAAGGTGATAATTATTCCATACATCGCATGTTTACTTACACCTCTTTCCTTACACCAATCATTGCAAAACAAGTGTCAGTCAATCATACGTGGAAGAATATTATTGGTTAATAGCTTAGATGCTCCGAGAATAACGAATCCCGCTAAGAATTTTTTTTTTAATTTTTATTTTTAATATTATATTTTTTTCCGAAGAAGGCGTAAGGATTTTGAGAATTTTTCTGAGTCTGGGTAATTTTTTAAAATATTTTTTTGGTTTTGAATTTTTGGGTTCTTGGGAAATTCATAAGTTTTTTTTTTTTTGTGTATTTATATATATAGATATATATAGGAAGATACACGGGTTATAGGTGAAAAAGGGGCAAAAAAGAGTGTGATAAATCTAGGGTTTGAGTAATTTGGGGTTTTTGATTTGTTGGAAGCTATGAGGAAGAGGCTGGATACCAGATTTCCTGCTGTAAGTTTCAGTTTCCCCTTTCTATTCACTTTTTGAATTTGGGTTTTTGATGTTTTGGTGTATGTATTCGTCTGTTGGGTGTTCTTGATTTTCTATGTTATATATGGGTGTTTTTTTATCCCTTTTTTGGTTGTTGAATTGAAAAAAAGTGACTGGGGTTTTCTTGGTTTTGGTTTATTAAACAGTTTTGAGCTTTTTGTGGTATAAAGCTTTGAGCTTTGATGATTTGGTGGTAAGTTATAAGGCTATTGAATGAGTAGAACTGTTAAATTTGTAAGGTTAAACGTATGAATGGGGTTTTCTTTTCCCTGGGGTGTTCCTGGTTTTGATTAAAAATATAGGTTTTTAGGTGTTCTTGTAAATTTCAAAGTTTGGAGCTGTTAGTTCTGTTTTTGTGGGAATAAAGATTTGAGCTTTGATGTTTTGGTGATAGTTGTAATGCTATTGAATGAATAGAATAATCGAATTCTTAAGTTTCAAGGTATGGCTGGGTTTGGATGTCTACTATTTATTTGTTGCTTGTAAGTTTGAAACTTTGGATCTTTTTAGATTGTAAGAGTTTTTTTGTGGGGTGGTGGTGGTGGTGGTGGTGGTGGATAAAGCTTTGATCTTTGATGTCTTGGTGATATAAGTTGTAAAAGCAATTGAATGAATGTCTAATTTGTAAGGTTCTAGTATAGCTGAGTTTGTGTGTCAACTATTGAGACTTCTTGTTTGGATCCTGGGAGTTGCCTTGTTTTCATGTTAATGTGTATTTGCTTAGTTTGGTTGGATGTTAAAATAGGTTGAGTACTAGATGAGGTGCCTCACTAAAGAAAGAAAAAAATGTGTTTGGATATCTACCATTTTATTGTTGGTTGAAAAGGTGGAGCTCGAGTATGACTTCTTGGTTGGCTCGTAGGAGTTGCCTTGTTTTAATGTTACTCTGTGTATTTGCTTAGTTTGGTTTAGATATTAAAAAGGTTAAGGTTGAGTACTAGATGAGGTGTCTGACAAATGAAAGCAGAAAGAAGAAAAGAGAACTCATGTTTTCTTGTTTCTTGGAGTTGAGGTACACTAAGTATGGATTTTTTTCTCTTGAAAATCCAGCGGTTAGGTCTTAACAGTAGACGAAGAAATCTGATCTTGCCTAAGCTGTCAGTCCTCCGTGGTATGTTTTGAACATATAATAAGTTGTTTGTTATAGTTACTGGACCATATCTTTGCCCGCATTTTTTTCAACCTTCTATTTATTTGTTGAGAGCAAAAACAGTTCTTTGAAGTTGCAAAAAGTAGTATTCTTTTCTGGGCAGAGGTAAGTAACAACAATAACAATAACAATAACGAACCCAGTTCAATCCCACAAGTTGAGTTTAGGGAAGGTATAGTGTATGCAGACCTTTCCCCCTACCTTTGAGAAGTTATAGAGGCAATTTGGGGAAAAGTAAGTACAAATTGTAAAATTAGTTCTACCCTAGACAGAGCAAGAACATATTGTAAAAGTAGTTCTATGACTAGCATTCACATAGGCAGTTGATTTAAATAGCTTTGTTCCACGGAGAAAGTCTGATGTTTTGATTTAATTTTTAAAGCAAGTTTCTAATTAAGGGTGCTTGTAAAGAGTTGAACTTACCTGGTTGGAGAGGGTATTTGTTAAGTTGGTATGCGTGAATTTAGAACTGGTAGTTGCAACAACATACTTAGCTTAGTCCCACAAGTTGAGTCCGTGAGGGTGGTGTGTATGTAACCTTACTTTTACCTTGTAAAGCATATCAAAATCAGAATGAAAAGGACATAGAGTAGTGAAGAACGATGCCAAAAATAATGAGACAAAGCCAATAGCAATAATCCAAAAACAAATAATACGATAACTGAACATTGGAAACAACAAGTGATAATAAAATCGAAAAACAAGATTGTAGGAGAGTGATGTTAATAATAGTGATATGGGAAACTAGACAATGCTTGACCTCTCCCCAATACTAAAATACAAATTAATTGTGGGAAATGGGCGTGCATGCACAAATGTGTATTTGACGTTTTTTTGTGGATTGCCTGTAATTTAGTGCGGTCTGCTAGTCTGTATATTTCATGGTTTAACAGTATGTCATTCTGATGTTTGTTTCAAGGTAAGAATTATGGTGATTGGAATTTGAAATTTAGATCTTGACATTGCTTTTAGAAGTTATGTATGTTAACATCTGGACGGAAATGAAATTGCTTAGTCTCATTGACTATTGTTACATGAAGTTATCGTCTCCGTTGATTAAGTTGCTGAATCGAAGATTTTAACTGTTCTAATACCATTGTCATTTGTTTGCAGGCTCGGATTAAAAAGATTATGCAAGCTGATGAGGATGTGGGGAAGATAGCGATGGCTGTTCCCCTTTTAGTCTGTAAGTCCTTTATTTCAATGAATTTCTTTTTGCATTTGGTTCAACTGATTTAAGATCTGTTTACCTGTATTCATTCCCTTACTTCTTGGTATCTTTGTGTGGTTCATTTCGTTTATCCTAAATCGTGTTTGTCAACGTTATATTCAGCAAAAGCTCTTGAACTCTTTCTGCAAGATCTTTGTGACCGTACATACGAGATTACCCTCAAGAAAGGAGCAAAAACAATGAATTCTTTCCATTTGTAAGTTTAATTTACTGTTATGATATTACACGTAGTATTAGTTGTCTGCTAATCAGCTAACTTGGTTCCTCTACTTCACAGGAAACATTGTATCCAGAGCTTTAATGTGTTTGATTTCCTGAAGGATGTAGTGAGTCGGGTTCCTGATCTAGGCGGGTCAGATGCTGGTGCTGAATCGGCCACCAAAAGGAGGTTAGAAAATTCTACTTACTTTGATTTTTTTTTTCTTGCCTGTGATGGTTTCGGGGCAGTGAATTTGTATCATTAACGACCGACTGTTTGCTGATTCAGGAAAGTTGCTGAAGAAGATGATCATGACAGTGATGATGATACCAAAAGGAATCATGCGGTATGGAGATTATTCCTTTTTGATAATGTTTTGTTTAAACTTGATTAAAATTTCAGAAATAGGGATAGTTTGAGGCATAATTACTAAATGTAGCGGTACTTTGGATAATTATCAAATGCAGAGAGTGTTTGTGAAATTCACTCTGTATCAGTGATGTACTATAAGATATGGAAAGAATTGTTGTATCTAATAATGAGCAAAGTATTGTATCACCGATACAAAGCAAATTTCAGAAACTATTGTATCACTGAGACAGATCAAAATTCGTAACTGTTGCATCACTGATACCAGGGCAAGTTTGATTTATTCTTTTTGAACTCTCGCTGTGTTTGATAATAGTGTATTAGTTCGTCACGAACTGTTTACATCAAACGTTGTATGTAATCTGATTTCTTCTATGTATTTGTGCTTCCTGTATAATAGTGCCTTTTTTTGTTGAAATCACAGAATGAGACTGCAAACAACAGTGGTACTGGAAGAGGACGAGGTAGGGGTAGGGGTAGAGGCCGTGGAAGAGGTTCACGAGCAGTAGAGAAAGGTGACTACCATGCTCACAGTGAGAAACTGGAAGACGCTGCTGCTGATGTTTCACATCAAAAGGATGATGAGAACCAAAAACAAAATGATGAAAGAATGGTAGACTATGTAGCAGAATCAGCAGTAGATTCAAAGAACATTTCAGCTGCTAAATGCTCCCCAGAAGTCGTCGCCCCTGCTAGAAACTTCGATCTCAACATAGACTTAAACGAGAGTGTGGAGTCCACACCAATGCCATCTGAAGTCCCTTTATCATCAACGGCAACACCAACACCAACACCAACAGCAACACCTGCACCAGCACCAGCACCAGCTCCAGCGCCTGATGAATTGAAGCACGAGGAAATACCTGGATGGTCCCTGTCCGAGATGGAAAAGATGGCTATCGATCCAATTCAATTGGCCAACTTAAACCAAGGGTTAGACGAGGAAGAGGAAGATTACGACGAAGAAGGATAGGTATCGTTATTCTAATGTGTTTAGAGCAGTTACAACTCACATACAAGTAGACAGGCTTGTTCTTCTTTCTAGTCTTTTTTTTTTAGGAATTTTAGTTCAAATGTAAAAGGAAAAAGAGCATCATTGTGATTGAAGCTCAGGTTTTTATTTTAGTTGTGACTTAGGTACCTGTATTTATAGTCTTGTGTATTGTTCATCAACAAACATCTTAGGAAAAACATGTACAATTTCTAACTTCTAATTCAGAAATATATATTCTAGGTTGGAGGTTACATTAGTTGTGACTTAGGTACCTGTACTTTGCTCTTCCTGTTGATTTATTATTCAAATTGTTGAGGCGTGACATTATGTAATATGGAGAATGAACAATCTATCCATATTTGTATTTATTTAAACAAAATACAATAATACAAGGTGTGTCAGAATTTGCTAATTTACATTCTTAGACATATCTTTTATTAAAAACTTGGATACTCTTTATTGACTAAGCTTTGTGCGTGTTCTCAAGCGTTTGTTTTGTAAAATGTTAATCACATAATTATATTATCTCTTTTAATTATACGTATCAACTTCAAACAGAACTAGTATGTCGTTTTATGACTTATTCTGGCTAATGCATATTAATAAATGAGATGCTTTCTATATTTCAAGTGGTTAACTTATTAGAAGCATCATTTGTTTCGTTATCTGAATTAAAGTTTTATATTAAGATTTGAATATTAAATTATTTTTTTCAACAACATCTGAATGGACAAACATGTTTTTATTTAATAATTGATAATGAATATATAGCCACTAAATATCTCACCCAAATTAATCAAAATATTTGAATATATAGCTGCTAAATATTTTTTAGTAATAAAACAATATATTTTTAATAATTGATACTGAACACCAAATGAAAAACAAATGTAATATTTTTTAATAACTTTTATTTGCAATGACCATGATAGTGATCGTATAACAACCAAAATATTGTCCAAAGTTTGACTTTACTTGAATACAAGTATTATATTATTGCCATTAAATCATTTATTTATTATAGCGTCGCTCTCGTATTTGTTCTATCTTTGGTGGATAGAGTTATCTCATTTTTGTTGCTGATGAAAGGTGACAAATATTTCGTAAAATTAGTTGAGATGCGTGAAAGCTGAACACTACGATCGTCGAATTTTGTTTTAGAAACTTCCAACTAGGGAAGTATGAGGACTATTAGTATGAAAGTATCAAATATAGTTGAATAGTTCAACTATGTATACTAGGTAAAAGTTTGAGCATTTCTAAAACACTTTCAAATTTGACCAAAAAACAAATATTGATGACTTATTCCATTTTCTTAACTAGTCAATTCCCTCTCTATAAATACTGAAACTTTGTGCATTAACCAATATCTAAGTTCTTTGTTTGATTGAAACTTGTCTGTCGTTTCTTGAAATCTCTCTTCTGATTCAAAATCGTTGTGTAACGTGTAACGTGTATCGTTCTGTTTCAATCAAAAAATGCTTCTTAACATGGCTTTACTCCACTTGATGATACTAATATATAGCTTGTTTTCAGTTTCGTCGTTACAATTCACAGAAAAATCAATTGCTAATGCTACTACTATAACCAAACCTGGCTGTGATAGCAAATGTGGGAGCTTAACTGTTCCATTTCCTTTTGGTATTGGTAATGGAACAGGCTGCTCGATTGATCCTTCATTCGATATCACTTGCAACGTTTCGTTCAATCCTCCAAAGGCTTTTCTTTCTGGCAAAGATATTGAAGTGGTTGATATCCTAGATGATCATATACTTGTTAAGAACAACGTTGGGAGTAGGTGTTATGATCAAGCAGGGGCGTTGATCAATGATGACTCGATAAACTTTAGCTTGGGATCGACATCTTTCTCCTTCTCTGATCTCAATAGTTTGATGGTAGTTGGCTGCGATGACTTAGCTCTCATTCTCGGCTATGAAGGGAGGAACTTTACTAGTGGATGCATTTCACTATGCTCGAAAAAAGAGGATATAATTGATGGATATTGCTCGGGGATCGGATGTTGCCAGACTTCAATCCCAACAGGTTTGAAGAGTTTTGTGAGTCTAACAAGGAGTTTGAATAACCATACGAATGTGTCTTCTTTTAACCCTTGTGGCTACGCGTTTCTTGGTGAGCCTGATAAGTTCATTTTCAAGAGCTCGGATTTGTCAAATTCGACTTTCAGGAACAAGGTTATAGAGGAAGTACCTGTGGTGATTGATTGGATTATTGGCAATGATAGTTGCACTGTTGCTAAGAAATCAGCAGATTATGCTTGTGGAGAAAATAGTGTTTGTGTAGATTCTAAGACAGGCCTCGGAGGTTATCGTTGCAGCTGCAAACCGGGATACCAGGGGAACCCTTATATCAGTCCAGGTTGCATAGGTAAGACTCAATTCATGATTTGAACTTTTTGTGTTCGAGTTTGAAATTGTTGCTTTAGTAAGGTTTCAGCCAAAGTTACTGTGTTTCAATGATGTTATATGTGTTGGTTTACTGTGTTCGAGGGTCTATCAGAAACAACGTATTTACCATCTGATGTTTGATTAATTGACAGATGTAAATGAATGCGAGAACGAGAATCCTTGTGATGGGATATGCAATAACTTTCCTGGAGGTTACAGCTGCACTTGTCCACATGGTCAGATTGGTGATGGAAAAAAGGACGGCCACGGTTGCATCCCTAAGAACTCTAAGTCACCTATCCTTCAACTATCACTCGGTACGTCTACTTTGTGTCCAGTCAAACACCTTCACGTAAAATGAAAACGGTTAAGAGTGTACTAAAGTTGAACTTTCGTTGCAGGTTTGTGCTTTGGCTTTCTGGCTTTGGTCATCAGTGCAACTTGGATATACTTAGGCATCAAAAGAAGACGACTCATACGACTCAGGGAAACGTTTTTTCAGAAGAATGGTGGATTGATGCTAACGCAGAAACTCCGATCAAATGAAGGTGGTATGAAGTATGCAGCTAAGATCTTTACAGCAGCAGAACTCGAAAAATCAACCAACAACTATGCTGAGGATCGTATCCTAGGCCGAGGTGGTTATGGTACCGTTTACAAAGGTGTCCTTCCGGACAAACGTGTAGTTGCTATTAAAAAGTCGAGAACAATGGACGTCAGCCAAATAGAATTGTTCATCAATGAAGTGATCATTCTCTCTGAAGTCAATCATCGAAACGTGGTGAAACTCTTGGGGTGTTGTTTGGAGTCTGAAGTACCTCTACTAGTCTATGAATACATTTCAAAAGGTACACTCTACTATCATATTCATGATGGTGGAGATCAGACGCGTTGGTTTTCATGGGAAAATCGATTAAGAATAGCATCTGAAGCTGCTGGTGCACTCGCGTATCTTCATTCTGCAGCTTCTACACCTGTAATTCATCGAGATGTGAAGTCTACAAACATTCTACTCGATGAGAATTACACAGCGAAAATATCAGATTTCGGGGCTTCTAGATTAGTGTCATTGGATCAAACTCAAGTGACTACATTGGTTCAAGGAACTTTAGGTTACTTAGATCCCGAATACTTCCACACAAGTCAATTAACTGAAAAGAGCGATGTTTATAGTTTTGGTGTGGTTCTTGCAGAGCTCTTAACAGGGCGAATGCCACTAGATACTACAGCATCCGAAAAAGAGAGAAATCTAGCTGCATTTTTCGTTAGGTCTATTAAGGAAAATCGATTGTTTCAAGTACTTGAGACACGTGTGCTACGAGAAGGAAGTTTTGAGCAATGTCAAGGTGTTGCTGAGCTCGCGAAGAGATGTCTAAGGTTAACGAGTGAAGAAAGGCCTACGATGAAAGAAGTAGCGATGGAGCTAGAAGGACTAAGGAAGTTCACAAAACATCCATGGTCTAAAACTCAACAATGTCAAGATGAGGAGAGTATTGGACTAATAACAGAACAAACACTGGACCTTTACGCGATCAATATGAACACGAACTTCATGTCTAACGGAGAATTCTCTGGACAACAGAGCTTGGATAGTCGTATGATGTTACAAATTCATAGTCCCCGGTGATCGATTACTTGTGTAAACCCTGCATTTTTGTGTTCTAACTTGTATGTTGCAGAATGTAGTGTTTCCTTTTAACTAAATGTGTCAAAATTCATTCACGAAAATATGATCCGTCTAATCCGTCCATGTTTGAACTAGTCATTGGTTCGTTTATTTACTAGCTCAACTCATTTCAACGCCTTAAAAAAAAACTGTGCCGATATGTTGCAGAATATCAATTTATAGCTATAAAAGTTATACTATTAAAATTAAATAGAAAATTAAATTTTACTATTTTTATTGATAATGTTTATGTCTATACAATATATAAATTTCATCATTCATAACAACTGACAAAAAATATGTAGATGTTACTCTACAAACCACAATTCATCCATATATTTTATGACAAAAACTTGAAATATTAAATAAAAAAATCAATTCAAGAATTTTTTGTTTAGGTCAACAATATATCATCTACATACCCCACCCCCACTCTCTTCAAATAATAGAAGGAATGATTTTTTTTTTAAATCATTTGATACGTGTTATTTATATTGAGTTTAAACTTGCGTCAAAAAAGTCTTACATTGAGAAGTAAAACAATCTCTAATGAAAATAATACTGTATCTAGAGAAATCTGAATTCGAAAAATTTGATTAAAAATTTAAAATGTTTTACCACTTTATCATGATCCCTCGTTACCAGATGAAGGAATGATTCAATCTTCCATTATTTCATACGCCCTATATACACACCATTAAAACAACCTCAAATTTCTATTTTCCACTAGTACACACTTATCAAGATTCAATACAAATGTCTTTATCGAAATTTGAACCAAATGATGACATACTTGATTTTGTAATCAAGAAAGCAAATGGACTAAAAGGCCTAGTAGACACAAACCTTGAAGTTATACCAAGTCAATGCATTCAACCAAAAGAACAAAGGCTAGACAAATCTCAAACTGATAATCAAGAATCAATCCCCACAATTGATTTATCAAATTTTGATGATTTAAGTGTTGAAAAATCGATTCAAGAAGCAGCAAGCAAGTGGGGTTTCTTTCAAATCATCAATCATGGCATCCCAATCGAAGTTCTTGATGATTTAAAGGAAGCAGGACACAAGTTCTTTGAATTGCCAGCTGAAGAAAAAGTTAAGTATAGTACAGAAAGCTATAGCGCTGGTGAATCTGTGTTGATGTTTTGGAGTGCTATTGGTGAGAAAGATGAGAAAGTCTTGGAGTGGAGGGATACTATAAGACAGGGATGTAATCCACAAAATGATAGCAATCTTTGGCCTTCTCAAACAAGGTAGTTTTTTTTCGGAGTTTTCTATACACTGTGTAATCTATTGGTCACGAGTTTTTATGTATTATTTTTTGAGAGTTTCATGTCTTTGAGTATAAGGTGTTTGCGTTTCTGAACTATCACTAAATGCTTATCAAAACACTTTTTCAAGATTAACTAGATCTAAGTGTTTGAATTCCATAGTCAAAAGGTGCATCACAACTTTATTGTCCATAAATTTGATCGAAATGAAAAAGTAATTTTGAGGTGTGTTTCGATAATTAGTTGATGATAGTCCACTTCGGAATGGAAAAAACATGAAGTATCATTATCTCGAGATTTTATAAAGGTTCTTATAACTTAAATTAACATTACATTGCATATGTAGGAGAAAAGTTATTTTTTTTAAAATTACATATTTAGTATAATCTCACAAGTAGAGTATGGAGAGGTTAGGATATACGTATATTTTACCTCTTTCTTCGCGGGGTGAAAAAATTGTTTTCAGTCGAAATACTCTTAGTGAAATTTATGACTTTAACATTAAATATTGGACATTATTATTCTTGACCTTGCTATGAAATTTTGAACGCTCTTAACAAAATTCATGACTTTTTCACTGATTTATAGGAACCAAGTCTTGGAGTATCAAAAGTGGGCTACACCACTTGCTAAAAAATTGCTTGAGGTGTTATTGAAGGGTCTCGATGTCAATGAAATCGATGAATCATTAGAACCTCTCTTGATGGGAACTAAGGCTATCAACATAAACTACTATCCACCATGCCCAAATCCAAGTATCGCCATTGGTATTCGTCGACACTGCGACGTGTCCTGCATCACTCTGCTCCTCCAGGACGACACAGGAGGCCTATATGTCCGAGGGACTAAAGGCGATAACTGGATCCACGTAAATCCTATCAAAGGTGCCTTAGAGGTTAACATAGGTAACTCGTTGCAAATCATGAGCAACGATCGATACAAAAGTATCGAGCATTGTGTATCAGTTGATTCTAACAGGGGTCGAATATCTGTACCGCTATTTTTGAATCCCAGTCTTGACAGTGTCATCGGTCCATTCCCACAAATGCTAAAAGATGGAGAAAAATTAGTATACAAACATGTTTTATACTCTGATTATTGGGATCATTATTTCACTAAGAGGCCTTCTGGTAAAGCATCACTAGATTTTGCTAAAATTTGATGTTTTAATCTACAAATTTTCTTGTTATTTAAATCTTATTATATTTTCAAATTTGTTATTATGTAATGACAAATAGTGTATGTTTACATAACCATTGAGTTGGTATAATTATGTCATCATTTAGAAATCTTGTTTTATTTTTTATTTGACGTTTGTTCACATCTCCAAAAAATAAATCAATTTTACCAAATAAAATTCACATCAATCCACTTCGTATTCCACCAACTCCGCATAACCTAAAATTCACCTCATCCCGCATAGCCTTAAATCTATCCCGCTTCATTATCATCGATAAATAACATCGACAAAAAATCAAATCAAATAGTATCCAAATTGTCATTGTAGAGCTGTAAGGAATAGAAATACATGTGCCACTACTTGACAACATAAGGTGATAAATTGTTGAATGACAAATTTACCCTCCTATTAAATTCCAAATCTATCCCCTTGATTATACATAAATGAAGATGAAAAATTAAAACACTAAATAAAAAATCAATTCAAGAATTTTATTTAGGCTTTTAATCTATCATTCATATACCCTCCACACCCACTCCCTTGAAATAATAGAATAAATAAATAATTTTAATTATTCTAATGAATTTATAAAAAAATCATATAAATACACGTACAACACATGTGTTCAACACAGAGGTAAAACATTATTGCAAAATGTCAATACTAGTTATACCCTACCTCGGGATTTGCGCCTCAAACTTTAGTGTCAAGGTGGGGTGGGGTGTTTGCTGTTTGGTGAAGCAGTGGTGGAGTCAGAATTTTCAATAAGGGGATTCAAAATTCGTAGAAATAGATACACGGAATAGTCGAAGGAGGTTCGACATTTGGTATATATACATACGATAAAATTTTAACCATATATAAATAATATAATTTTTTGTTGAAAAAAATCCGGATAAACCCCTTGTATCAAGATGGCTCCGCCCCGGAGAGGGAGGGGACAGAACAATTATAATGCTTTCAAAATATCATAAAAAAGAAATGATAAAGCAAGATTTTTTATATAATAATTGAAGCCTATAATTAAAGGGGGGAAAATAAACAGTAGTCACTTTTTCATAATTTTATTTGAATTATACAATTTTTAACTGATAATTGTTATGAATATATAATATACAAATTAAATTTCATCATTCATGCATATGGACATTAAGAAGCCACCTCACCAATTTCCAAATAACTATTTTAAGATGATGATGTTTGATTAAACATAAAAACAAAAAAAAATTGAAATACTAAATAAAAAATCAAAGTATTATTAGAAGGAATGATTTTCAAAAAAATATTTCTATAGAGTTCAATTAAATTTAAATTCGCATCCGAAAGTCTTATATTGAAAGGTAAAATGCTCCCTAATAAAAATGATTATATAGTAAAAAAATTTTAAAAATCAATATAAATTATTAATTTTATTTTCAACTATCAATACTAGCCCTTACGCACCCCACCTAACTCCCTTGAAATAATAATAAAAAAGGAATGATTTTTTCTAATCATTCGATATTCATATTAGGTCAAACTAAAATTGAATTTCTACTGAAAAATCGTGTATTGAGAAGTAAAACAGTCTATTATAAAAACAATATTGTAATCAAGAAAAATTTAAACTCAAGACATTTGATGAATAATAAAATCATTCTAGACGAAGGAATGATTCAATATTCCATTATTTCATAGCCAACCAATAATAGAAGAAGGACTGGTTTTTTTATCATCAGAGGTTCAATATTCATACCGAATCCAGTTAGATTTGAATTCGCACCAAAAAGTCTCATAATGTAAAATATTTTTAACAAAGACGACTCTACATTCAGAAATTTAAATCCAAAACAACTAGTTAAAATAAAAAAAATATTTACCGCTTTATCATAATTCATCGATGATGAAGTAATGATTCAATCTTTCATCATTTCATAGCCCCTCCCCCCTATACACACCCTCTCAAACCCCAAATTTTCCTTCTAACATTACTACACACTCATCAAGATTCAACACAGATGTCTTCTTTAAAATTTAAACCAAATGATGACATACTTGATTTTGTAATCAAGAAAGCAAATGGACTTAAAGGCCTAGTAGACACAAGCCTTGCGATTATCCCAAATCAATGCATTCAACCAAAAGAACAAAGACTAGACAAATCTCAAATTGACAATCAAGAATCAATCCCCACAATCGATTTAACAAATTTTGATGATTTAAGTATCGAAAAATCAATTCAAGAAGCAGCAAGCAAGTGGGGTTTCTTTCAAATCATCAATCACGGAATCCCAATCGAAGTTCTTGAAGACTTGAAGGATGCAGCACATAACTTCTTTGAATTGCCAGCTGAAGAAAAAGTTAAGTATCACAAAGAAAAAAGTTAGTGTAGGTGACTCCGCGTTGCTGTTTTGGAGTGCTATTGGTGAGAAAAATGAGAAAGTTTTGGAGTGGAGGGATAGTTTAAGACATGGTTGTAATCCACAAAATGATAGCAATCATTGGCCTCCTCAAACAAGGTAACTTTTCGGGTTTTCTACTATGTGTAATCTATAAGTTACTGGTTTTCAAGTAGTATTACCTTTTGCAAGGTGTTCGTATTTTTAAACTATCTCTAATTACTTAGCAAAACATATTTAAAAACTGACTAGATCAAGTGTTTGTATACAACCGTCAGTAGGTGTATCACAACTTAATATTACAAATGGCAAAGTAATTTTGAGGTGTGTTTCGATAATTAGTTGATGATAATCCATTTAAGAAACTCGTTAAAACGTGACACTTCAAACAAGGTAACTTTTTGTGGTTTTGTACTATGTGTAATCTATAGGGCATGGATTTTCAAGTATTACTTTTTGCGGGTATCATTTATTTACTATAAGTTGTTTGTGTTTCTGAACAATCATTAAGTTTTTATCAAAATATATTTCAAAACTAACTAGATTAAGTGCTTGAATACAATAGTCAATAGTCAAAAAGCGCGTCACAACTTAATTTACTCATAAAATTTCATCCAAATAGCAAAGTAATTTTGAGGCGTATTTGGACAATTAGTTGATGATAGTCCATATAATAAACTCGTCAAAACATGATACTTTAAACAAGGTAACATTTTGGGGTTTTCTACTTTGTGTAATCTATAGGTAACGGATTTTCAAGTAATACTTTTTGCGAGTTTCATATCTTTACTATAAGGTGCTTGCGTTTCTAAACTATTTGTAACAATTTATCAAAAATGATTTCAAAACTAACTAGATCAAGTGTTTGAATACAACCGGCAAAAAGTGTGTCACAACTTAATTTGACTATAAAATTTTGTCTAAATGGAAAAGTAATTTGGAGGTGTGTTTCGATACTTAGTTGATAGTATTTCATATAGGTAAATCGTGAAAACGTGATACTTCAAATGTGTCTCTGATCATTATATCAAGATTTTATAATGGTGTCTATAACTTAAATCAAAAGTATATTGTATATGTAGGAGAAAAGTAACCTTTTATACGATTACATATACTATATAATCTCACAAGTATGGATAGGGCAGGATATGCACAAATATTACCTCTGGCATAGCAGCATAAGGTAATTCTTTTTCGACTCTCGAAACATTCTTAGTGAAAATTGTGACTTTGACATTGAATCTTGAAAGTTATTAGCAAAAAATTTAACCTTCCCATTAAACTCTGAATGCTCTTAGAAAAATTTCTAACTTTGTTATTGATCTGTATAGGAACCAAGTTTTGGAGTATCAAAAGTGGGCTAAACCACTCGCTAAAAAATTGCTTGAGGTGCTATTGAAGGGTCTCAATGTCAATGAAATTGATGAATCTTTAGAACCTCTCTTGATGGGAACTATGTCTATAAACGTAAACTACTATCCACCATGCCCAAATCCAAGTGTCGCCATTGGTTTTCGTAGACACTGCGACATGGACTGCATAACTCTGCTTCTCCAGGACGACACGGGAGGACTATATGTCCGAGGGACTAAAGGCGATAACTGGATCCATGTAAATCCTATCAAAGGTGCCTTAGCGGTTAATATAGGTGATTCATTGCAGATCATGAGCAATGATCGATACAAGAGTATCGAACATTGTGTAGCGGTTGATTCAAGCAGGGCTCGAATATCCGTACCGCTATTCGTGAATCCTAGTTTTGACAGTGTCATTGGTCCGTTCCCGCAAATGCTAAAAGATGGAGAAAAACCGGTGTACAAACATATTTTGTTCTCTGATTATTGGGATCATTGCTTCATTAAGAGGCCTTCTGGTAAAGCATCACTAGATTTTGCTAAAATTTAAATTTCTTGTATTTTAATGTTTTTGTATTATAAATATGTTATCGTAATGTCGAAAACTGTTACTTTATGTAACTTGTAATTCTAAATATTTTTAGACTAACTATTTAATTTTTCTTATATTAACTCAAAATAGCTAGCTAATATTTTTATTATTATAATTTTATTTTTTATATAGAAGACAACAACACACAAGAGGACTCTCCACTTTGGCTCTTAGCCTGTAATGTAAGACAACAAATAATATTGAAATCACGGGTGTTACAATAGTACTATTTTTATTGATAATTTATATATATATATATATATATATATATATATATATATATATATATATTATTTTATTTGTTTTAATTTATATGACACGAATGAAATTAACATAATTATTTAAATATTTTTTTGATATTTAAAATACTTTAAGTTGTAAATTGTTATAATTTTTTTTTAAAAAAAAAAATCATCATTCACGACAATTGACAACCGACAACAAAGATATGGATGTTATTTAAACAAATCACAATTCATCCATATGGACACAAAGAAGCCATCTCATGAAAAATCAATTCTAGAATATTGTAATAAACAAATAATTTTAATTATTCTATCGAATTTATAAAAATTTATATCGACACATATATAATGCACGTGTTCAATAATTTTTCCAGAATTTAATTTATCGAATATTGTGTAAATGCTTTTAAAAATAAAATTATATTATACTATTTTAAACTGATAATTATTATGGATATGATATACAAATTTTATCATTCATGGACATCAAGAAGCCACCTCACTAGTTTCCAAATAACTATTTTATGATGATGATGTTCGATTAAATATAAAATAAAAAGATAAAAATAATTGAAAATACCAAACAAAAAAATCAATTTCAAGAACTATTAGAAGGAATGGTTTTATTTTTAATATTTATATTGAGTTCAGATAAATTTGAATTCGCGTCATAAAGTCTCATATTGAGAGGTAAAATGCTCTCCTAATATACAAAGACAATTATGTATTCAGAAAAATTCGAATACAGAACATCTGATTAATGATGAAACCCCCCCGGCACCGACACACACCCTCTCAAATCCACTATAAAAAAAACCCCAAATTTCCTTCTTTCAATAGTATACACTTATCAATATTCAACACAAATGCCTTCTTCGAAATTTGAACCAAATGATGACATATTTGATTTTGTAATCAAGAAAGCGAATGGACTAAAAGGCATAGCAGACACAAGCCTTGAAATTATCCCGAATCAATGCATTCAACCAGAAGAACAAAGACTAGACAAATCCCAAATTGACAATCAAGAATCAATCCCGACAATTGATCTGTCAAATTTTGATGATTTAAACATTGAAAAATCGATTCAAGAAGCAGCAAGCAAATGGGGTTTCTTTCAAATCATCAATCATGGGATCCCAATTGAAGTTCTTGAAGATTTGAAAGAAGCAGGACACAAGTTCTTTGAATTGCCAGCTGAAGAAAAAGCTAAGTATTACAGAGAAAATGCTGGTGCTGATGAATCTGTGTTGTTGTATTGGAGTGCTATTGGTGATAAAGATGAGAAAGTCATAGAGTGGAGGGATAGTATAAAACATGGTTGTAATCCACAAAATGATAGCAACCTTTGGCCTCCTCAAACAAGGTAACTTTTTTGGGTTTTCTATTCAACGTAATCTATAGGTCACGCGTTCTTAAAGTAAGTAAAAAAGCATACCTAAAGTATTACATTTTTCGTGAGTTCAATATTTGAACGGCCAGATGTTTATGAAAACACACTTTGAAACTGAGTAGACCAAGTGTTTGAATACAATCGCCAAAAAGTGTATGAAACTTAATTGCTTAAAAATTTTCGTTGATGGAAATTTACTCATTTATTTAGAAATGTGTTTTGATAATTAGTTGATGATGGTTCGAATAGAAGACTTACAAAACATGATATGTCAAAGGTACTTTTTTCCATTATCTCTAAATTGTATAATGGTGTATATAACTTAAAGTCAAAATTATATTGCTTATGTTAGTGAAAAATTATCTTCGATTCATACGATAATATATTCAGTATAATCTCACACAAGTAGGGTATGGAAAGGGTAGGATGTAGGCATATCTTATTTTTTGTCTTTACAAGGTAAAAAAAGTTGTTTACAATAAATTATCGCACACTCTTCGTGAAATTTCTTACATTAACATTAAATCTTGAATGTTTTTTAGCAAAATTCTTGACATTGCCATTAAATTTTGAATTTTTTTAGCGAAATTCCTAACTTTGTTACTGATTTATAGGAATCAAGTCTTGGAGTATCAAAAGTGGGCTACACCACTTGCTAAAAAGTTATTAGAGGTGCTATTGAAGGGACTCAATGTCAATGAAATTGATGAATCTTTAGAACCTCTCTTGATGGGAACTATGGCTATCAACATAAATTACTATCCACCATGTCCAAATCCAAGTATCACCATTGGTTGTCGTCGACACTGCGACGTGTCCTGCATCACTCTACTCCTCCAGGATGACACGGGAGGTCTATATGTCCGAGGGACTAAAGGCGATAACTGGATCCACGTAAATCCAATCAAAGACGCATTAGCAGTTAACATAGGTGACTCATTGCAGATCATGAGCAATGATCGATACAAGAGTATCGAGCATTGTGTAGCAGTTGATTCAAGCAGAGCTCGAATATCTGTACCGTTATTTGTGAATCCTAGCCTTGACAGTGTCATTGGTCCATTCTCACAAATGCTGAAAGATGGAGAAAAACCAGTGTACAAACATGTCTTATTTTCTGATTATTGGGATTATTTCTTTAGTAAGAGGCCTTCTGGTAAAGCATCACTAGATTTTGCTAAAATTTGATGCTTTAATTTTCAACTTTCTACTTTATTATTCATCCATTATAGTAACGACGAAAACTATTATTTTATGTAACTAGTAATCTGGTGTGATTGTGTATGTTATTTTTTTCCCCTTTATCTTGGCCTTCCTTGTGATTTAATACTCCTAGTTTAATCCTTTTATATTATTTTTTGTTCATAATAACCTTATCTTATGCATTACTTATTAATCAAAAGTTTCGAATTTGAAATAAGTTTGTCTATGGTCCCAATGGGGTATAAGATGAGAAAAAAGGTCAAATAACATTGACACCACTAACTTAGTATCTCAATTATTAACTAGAAATCTCGCAATTCAAAATGAATTCACCTTTAATTTCAAAATGTGTATCGAATAAAGAATGAGAACAATACTTACTTAAATGGCGCTATCACAACTAAAGATCATGACATATAGTAATAATCTACATTTATTAACTATAAGTTTAAAGTTCGAAATATATTTGCTTTAATTCCTAAAATGGGTATCAAATACAAAATAGAAAACGAAAACCCCTTATTTAAATGACACTATAATCACCAAAGATTATATTGGGGTAATCTCTCAACATCTCAAGTTTGAAAATTAATTCGTTTTATACTCCAAAGTGAATATTGTATTACATAATAAGAGAAAAATACCTACTTAAATAACACGATCATCGCCAAAGATTCATCATTAGATTCTCAAGTTTGGAAATGAATTTGCTTTCACTGGGATGTTTTCTATTTACAGTCCCGTCACTTAGAAAGAGCGGTTAAAGATCAGATCAGACATGCTTGATCGCCTAATCTGTTATTGAAACACAAATCAGACACGTATAGGCCTATATTTCTGTCAATATGATCTCCATTACGGATGGACAAATCTGTTTGAAAACAAAGCTCTTTTATCACGGAATTAAACCTAATGATGGATAACGAAAATCTCGAATTTGGAATTAATTTTAGAAAAAATTATATACAATAGCAAACTATTAATTCAAATTAAATGTTATAAATATAGTTTGATTAAATTGTATCACATAACAAACTGTTGTTATTTCGCCCCTTTCCTGGTGAATCTCACTCGCCACTCTCGTTCTCTCTCTCGCCTATCTCGCTTTTTATACTAAAATGTGTTTGTTTTGTATAAAGCGAGAGAAAATTGTATATATACATATATTTTCGTTTTCATCTCTCCACTCTCGCAAACCTCGCTGGTTCACTTGCCTCTCTCACTGTATACAAAAACGCAAATGTATAAAAATATATTTGTGTTTGTATAAAGCGAGAGAAAATTGTATATATACATATATTTTCGTTCCTCTTCTCTCCCCTTCACCCATATCTCTCAAGCCACTCTCCCATATCCCGCTCGCGCACTCTCCTCTTACTTAATACAAAACACTGATTTTTGAAATGCATTTGTATTTGTATAAAGCGAGAGAAAATTATATATACACAAATAGAAATGCATATATTTTCGTCCTATACACTAATGATTATATAAATACGATCTTCCCCTGTCTAGTTTTCTTTTATTTTTCTCTTTTTCTCGCTTTATACAAACATATACTATACTGTTCGTCTTTTGTATATGTATACCGGACCATACACCAGATAGATATTTTCTCCCTTCTTCCCAGAAAAGTCTCAATTGCATATCACATTTGATATCTTTCTGCAACAAAAAATGTCAATTGCAGAAGTTTCTGAAGCATCAGATCTCATTGATTTTCTAGTAAACAAAGGAAATGGCGTAAAGGGTCTTTCTCAAATGGGTCTTCAAATCGTTCCTCAAAAATTCATTCAACCCCATGAAGAAAGACTAGATTTTACCCAAATTACGTCCTCAGAATCAATACCCATTCTCGATTTCTCAAATTTCGATGACCCAAAAGTTGCAGAATCGATCTGTGATGCAGCTGAGAAATGGGGTTTTTTTCAAATAGTGAATCATGGAATCCCAATTGAAGTTCTTGAAAATGTAATTGAAGCAGGGCATAAGTTTTTTGGATTGTCTGTTGATGAAAGGAGGAAGTATTTGAAAGAGAATTCACCTACTCATACTGTGGAATTGAAGACAAGTTTTAGCCCTTTTGCTGAAAAGGTTTTGGAGTGGAAAGATTATCTTTTTCATATCTATGACTGTGGTGATGATGATGATGAGAGCTCTAAACTGTGGCCTGCTGTTTCCAAGTAAGTCTCTTTTTTTGTTTAGTCGTGAGCTTGCACGCAGCTCGACTAATTTCAGA